TCACAGAGATCCAGAGGGATTTCTATCTCTGGAATGCTAGGATTAAAGGTGTGAGTGCCACCATTTTCTAGCCTTTGTATCTAGTGGCTGTCTGTTCTCTGACCCCAGATAAATTTATTAGAGTACACAATATTTTGGGGAACACAATACCACCATAGGGAGGGGAGTAACAACCTAAGAGGACTCCTTCCTCCTTCTCACCTTCCTGGCCCCCCTCCTTATCTTGTTCCCCATCTCTTGTGTCTCCTTTGATCACAGCCTTCCCCCCCTCTTCACTCCCTCTCCCCAGGCAGCCTACCTTCCTAGCCCTGCTCTCTGATCTACACATCCAGCCTTGTTCTGCACTCTCTGCCACAATTAAGAGCTGGTGCTTACAAAATGCTGGGAAGTGCACAGACGTATTTAACAGCATACTTTGTATTAGATCATTAGATGTTGCTTTTATCTTATTTGTCTTTTTAAATTTTTATTTATTTATTTATTTATTTATTTATTTATTTATTTATTTTGGTTTTTTGAGATAGAGTTTCTCTGTGTAGTCATGACTGTCCCAGAACTCACTCTGTAGACCAGGCTGGCCTCGAACTCACAGAGATCCACCTGCCTCTGCCTCCCAAGTGCTGGGATTAAAGGCTTGTGCCACCACTGCCCTGCTGTCTTATATACCTTAATTTATTTGTTTTATGCATATATGTCTTTGTCTGCTCTTATGCTTGTATGTGCACTGTGTGTGTATGCCTGGTGCCCATAGAAATTGGAAGAGGGCATCCAATTCCCTGGAACTGGAGGAACTGTAGTTACAGGAAGCTGTGAGCCGCAACATGGAGGCTGAGAAGAAGTCATGACCACCTGTGAAAACAGTAAGTGCTACTAAGCCATCTCTCTCCAATCCTTGCTTTTTTGTTTATTAAGGAACCTGATTTTTGCTTTCAAATACCCTCTCAATATTGAACAATTTTGGACTATCTTATTTTTTGTTGATTCCTTTCCCTTTGGCTATGCTGGGGACTAAACTCATGCATTCTAGGTAAGCATTCTACCAATGATTTACATCTGGAATCATCGTGTGTGTGTGTGTGTGTGTGTGTGTGTGTGTTCACATATGGGCAGGTATGTGGAATCCTAAAGCTGACATCAAGTATCTTTCTTGATTGCTCACCATTTCATTAGTTAGGCAAGGTCTCCCTCTGAACTAGGTCAGTCTAACCAGCCAGCTTGCCTTTAAGACCGTTGTCTCTGCCTTCTGAGTGCTGGGATTGCAGGCAGCTTCCACATCTGCCTGGATTTCAGCTGAGTCCTGGAATCTGAACTCTGGTCCTCACGTGCACATAGTAGGTGCTTTACCCTTTGTGCCATCTGCTCATCCCTCTGACCATCTTTTCAGAAACATTTTATTGATCAAAATCTGGTAAGCCTTTCTTTAAATTATCACATTAACATCATGACTGCTGTTATAAACAATAAATGAGAGAGCACTAATTTGTCCAAATTTTAATTTCATTAGAAGTTGGGTGTGGCAGGGTGGTGGTGGCGCAAGCCTTTAATCCCAGCACTTGGGAGGCAGAGGCAGGTGGATCTCTGTGAGTTCGAGGCCAGCCTGGTCTACAGAGTGAGTACCAGGACATCCGGGACTACACAGAAAAACCCTGTCTCAACAAAACAAAACAAAACACTAAACAAACAAACAAACAAACAAAAAAGAAGTTGGGTGTGGTGGCATGCATCTGTAATTCCAGAGTTTGAAACTAACTTGTACTGCATATGGAGTTCCAGGTCAATGTGGGCTACAGAATGAGACATTATTGTGAAACCTCAGTAAACCTCCCCCCTCCCCCACCACTCTATCCCCTACAGACAAAGAGGAGCTTAAACCAGGATTCCTAAGTGTAGATAAGAACTTAGACCCCTTTTTCCCAGGTGGCGTTATCAGCTACAGAGACTTAAAAAAACAGAGTCAGGATATCCGACCATCTGACAGAAGCTAAGTGGTCATAAAACATCCCAAACTTCCCGAACCCTGGAGACAGCTCATAAAACTCCTAAACACAGTTGCTGAACAAACGAGAAATAAAGATAACATGAAAGACTAAAAAAAGAGAACTGATATGTACCAAAGAAAGGGAGGCGGGTTGTAGGAAATGAATTATGTGGTCTGTGTCTTTAAGAACTAACCTCCCTGCTCCGCAGGAGAGATTTGGAATGAGCCCCCCTGCCAAGGCTTGTAAACTTCATTGAATAAACCTTACTTTTGCATTCTGTACCTAAAGTCTCCAGTGGCTTCTTTGTGGACATGATCTGGGCATAACAATTATCTCAAACAAACAAACAAACAAACAAACAAACAAACAAACAAAATCCCAAATATAAAAATGTGCGTCATTAGAAGAAAGACATCTAGGCCGGGCGGTGGTGGCACACACCTTTAATTCCAACACTCAGGAGGCAGAGACAGGCGAATCTCTGTGAGTTCGAGGCCAGCCTGGTCTACAAAGTGAGTTCCAGGGCAGACTCCAAAAAAAGCTACACAAAGACATCTAACATTTGACACTCTTCTAATGTGAAGGGATCTCTCTGAAATTGACCTCATTGGTTTTAGTCTCAGCAAACTGCCCTGGTCCACT